AATGCCTGAAAGCGACTAATTTACATTTGCTTCCCAAAGCTGTGGAGTGTCCTTCTTTGCTCGGGTAAGAGTCTACTAACTCGTTAGGGCTTCTTCCCCTCCAAACTCCTCCTCACATTCGTTAGCCTGCAGGGATACAGAGATCCTAAGAAAGAGCATCTGGTATTTTGCACTGAGGATACTGTGGTCGCGGGAAGTTGGAGGCAGCGGGGAAAGGGGAGTTAGCTGTTCTAACCATGTAAGGAACAAGCCCAGCCCTCTTTGGACCCGGTTCAGAAGACAGCGGGAGGCCTCGGAAAAAAAACTTCATCTGGCTGGTTGGTGCATGGGCCGGCTGGTTCGGAGCTGCGTGCGTGTGAGCGCTGGGCGCACAGAGCTTCCCGCACGCTGCATCCCCACTGGTTCTCCCGCAGTGCCGGCTCCTATAAACGCCGGCAGGCGAGGTTCGTGACTGGCGGCCGGCTCCGTCGGAAGCGCGATGGCTGGGTTCTATGGTTGTCTGAAGATTGCAGAGTAAGTGGTGGGTGCTGCGAGGGCTCCAACTGGCCTTCGCGCAGTGGAGGTGGCAGAGCGCCCGCCGAGGGTGCGTTGGCTTCCACCTGTCCAAGCGGGGCGCTCGCCCGCAAGAGGGGCAGCTGGGAGCCACCGGGGCTGGGCGGCGGGCATGGAGGGGATCCAGGGTTCGAATTTACCGCGGGTTGGAGGCGGGACGCCCCGGGAGGGCTCACACAGGTGTGTGTGCGTGCGTGTGCGTGTGCGTGTGCGTGTGCGTGTGCGTGGGAAAGCGGAGGGGCGAGGGCTTCCAGGACTCGGTGGCCCAGGAAGCAGTGCGGGGAGGCTGGACGCCATGCGGCTCCTGACTCTGAGGGCTTTCTCCTTCCCGCCACAGCCCTACCTGGCTCACCTGTGTCCCAGCTAAAGAGGGACCGGGCCAGGCAGGCGGGACAGGCGGGGTGTCTTCCCAAGGCTGTTGCGGTTGTTGATTAATTTACTCGCCAAGGCAAGGAGAGAAGCACCAAAGGCAAGATTTAGCCGAGGCTCAGTGACATGAACATACCCAGTTATTCCTGGGGTTTCCTTTCCTGCGCATCCCGATGCCTGACCTCTTGGTGCAAGGGGTACTTTGTGGTACCCCTCCAGCCTTCCCCGAGTTTGTAAGGAATGGCTCAAGGGTCTGAGAAGGGAGAGCTGCACAGAGAAGGAGGATGTTTATATAACCAGATGGGCTGGGGAAGAGAGACTGGCACAAAGCTATACGTTCCTAGCCCACGTGTCCTAGCCCACATCTTATTAAAATAAACCATACCCCAAACCTGGATTTTACAAAGCTAATTTCATTGACTAGTAACACTATTAAAACAACATTCTCAGTAACAATTCACTTAAATAGTGTGTTTCAGTTACACCAAAACACTTGCTTATTGCACCAGTCAGCACCCAGCCTGACAGAAGATAAACGGGCTGGGGGGCGCTGAAGGCAAGACATGGGGGTGAGGAGAGCACAGAGGAGAGAGAGATGAAAAGAGAGAGGAGAGTTTGAATGAGTGGAGAAAATCGCCTTAAAGTTTTTGAGTTGTCGTAATTGTGTAAATTTGTTGCAAGCTATACAATGTGCAGTCTCCAGTTATTTGCTGTGGTGTTAGGTCCTCTTCTCTGATCTTTTCCCAGGGCTCCAGGGGGTGGTGGGAGAGGAAGAGGGGAAGGGAAATCTTGCTGCTCAAATATTCACTGCTCCCCATGCAGGCCTTTGTTTTTTTCCAGCCTCCATCCCACCAACGCCCCCCACAGGGGGGTTCCTAGAATCACAACCTAGCCAAATCAGGAGGATTGCCCCCTTTCAATGAACTTCAGTAGGCCTTGAAAGTTGAATTTGGGGGGAAACACAGTATTGGTTCACAGTTTCCTCTCCAAATCACAATTGCATTCTAAACGTTATATACATAGGTGTATACATTTAGTATATGAGTTGGAAATGTTTGACCAGTAGTGGAAATGGGTATACAAGACGCCAGTGGATCCCTGAAACGCAGTATAGTACCTATATATACCAGGTTTTTCCCTTTGCATACATACCTATGATAAAGTTCAATTTATAATGGGCACAGTAAGAGATTAACAACAAAAACTATACATAAAATAGAACAATTACAACAACATACAGTGTTAAAAGTAATGTGCATTTTGGAGGGGCCATTATTAATTAAAATAAGGGTTACTTGAACACAATCACGACAGTCAATCTGATAACCAAGATGGTTGAATGACTAATGGGCAGGTTGTGTATGCAGCGTGGATACACTGGACAAAGGGATGATTCATGTCCCAGGTGGGACAAAGCAGAACAGCACAAGATTTTATCATGGTACTGAGAACGGCAAGCAATTTAAAACTTATGAATTGTTTATTTCTGGAATTTTCCATTTAATATTTTCAGACCACAGTTGACTGTGGGTAAGTAAAACCACAAAAAGTGAAACCACGGGCCCTAGCTGGGTGGCTCAGTTGGTTGGAGTGTCCTGTGCACCAAAAGTTTGCAGGTTCGATTTCCAGTCAGAGTGCATACCTAGGTTGCGGGTTCGATCCCCAGTTGGAGTGCATATGGCAGGCAACTGATCTATTTCTCTCTTTCACATCAATGTTTCTCTCTCTCTTCCTCTCTCTCTCAAATCAGTAAACATATCTTCAGGTGAGGGGAAAAAAAGCAAAACCACAGATAAGGGGATACTAATAACATGTGTGGTATTCAAAGCCACACATATCCTTGTAGGCCTTGCCTCCATTCCACTAGCCTCATTGGCACTTTGCTTTAATTAAGTGAGTTGCTAGGTTACCAGTTTAGGTGTTTAAATTCTGAACTGGTTATTGTAGATAAGCTCTTGCTTAAGATAACTACCTATTAAATTCTATTATTTTCATAGACATAGAATGATAGCAGGTTACAGGAGAATTGTCATGGAATCAGTGAATACACTTACTAGTAGAAGGGAGAAAATAGTAGTCTTGAATTATGTGATACTGTTTTATGCAAGTATATGAGGAGATGAAGGAAAAGCAAAATAACTTTCTTAACTAGACAAGATCCTGTAATGGTGGGATGGGTGAAAATATCTTCATTTTAAGGATGATGAAACTGGATCCCAAAGATGTTAAGTGATTCTCCGTAGGTCACACAGTCAATGACAATTCCAATATTAGAATCTTGAGTACCCTGCCTTCCAGTGTAGAGCTGTACAGCCTAGGATAGAGGAAAGATCATCCTCTGAGCAAAGGACCAAAAGCCTGCATTATGGAGTTATGTGGCTGGGACTGCTGGAGACATAGATTCAGCCCAAGGCAAGGTAGTAAGCTAGGGCAACTTTGCTGTTGGCAACCCCAAAATCTCCTGTTACAGCCCCTTTCCCATTTCAGCATCCTTTCTACTGCAGGTGTTCTGGGCCTGAACCTGGCCTTTCTCTCCAAGCCTGTCTTCTCAAGCATCTGGCATCCTAAGCTGTGGACTTCTCCTTGGCTAACACATTGTCATCCTGTGGTCCAGGGGCTAGCTCTTAAACTGACCTGTGATGACAGGATAGTGGGCATGGATGGATTAGTCCTGACAATGTGCATTTCAATAGGACCTGGATGCTTTTGTGTCACTCTGATGCTTGGTGGTCATCTGGGGGAGCTTGCTAGGTTGGTGGGCCCCTCACATCATGCTAGTAAGTTTTTCCCACTCTAAGAACGGGATTCAAGAAGGTGAGACTGAGCACTTCTGAAACAGGCACCTGCCACTTTACCAGGGAAGAACTATTGTAAATGATGTGCCGGCCTGCTCCCCTTGGCTCCAAATCTTCCCTGATGCCCTCCCCTCCCCAAGCAGTGTGGGCTGCTATTTAAGATTAGAGGCTACGAATACTGACATGTTATGAGTTTCAGTTGCTGGTGCACAAGAGGCCCATGCATTCTTTCTTGACCCTGGGTAGCCCCTAGCACCCAGATGCTGGAGGATCCAACCTTGCAGATCCCTCCAGTGGCTGAGTCTCACCACCCTATCTGCAACCTGTTCTCCTGAACCTGAGGCCTACCTGCACCCAGGGAGCAATGATGAAAGTGAAACCTGATCCTATGTGAGCTTCCAGTTGGGGAAGGCAAATATAGGCTAGCAGAAAGCAGCAGAAATATGTAGCTGCAACTACTTAGCCTACTAGCTCAGACCAAACTTCCACTCCTCACTGTAATTAAGACCATTTAATGTGGTCATTAGAGATCCCTGTGGTACTTCACTTCTTTTTCTCATTCCCATCTTCCCTGTGTTTTTTTTTCTTCCTTCTAGTTTTAGGAGAAAAGCTGTTAACTCTAGTTCCCTGGCCAGGGGCCCAGACTGGCTATTGCATTTTGCTAACCTGCATTCACCCTATGGCATCTGTCCTAAGTACTTTCTGTTTCATTAGAGCACTCTAGGAAAGCGGATGGAGTGGCAGGTGTCCACCAGGGGGCAGCACTATCCCAGGCCCCTCCCCCCTCCTTTTCAGGGGGTGTGCGGTGGTGGTGTAGCATATTTACCAGTTTACCAAAAGTTTGTCTCTTTTGACTATAGCATAGTTAAAATATTTAACTCTAAAAATTCATTTAGGGGGGAATGGTTTTAAAATCTTTTGGAGGTTTCTCTAAAGATGTAGTTGATAGGTTTCATTTGGTCTTTAGCAGCATTGGAAAAAGTGTTCCATATGTTGTGGGGAGGTTTAATTTCCTTGGGAATATGTTAAAAATGTGGAAAAATATATCATTTCATCAGTAACCAAAATTTCAGCTTTTTATATGGAAATATTTCCATTAGTTTCCCTTGAATCCTTTAAAAGCCCATTTTCTGTTGGGCCAACTTTAGCAATTTTGAGATTCTAATTTTTTTTTTGGTTATTTCTAGAAATTAGTGGGCAAAATATAGTATGCAATTTGGTTGCTCCTGTCATTTACTAATTTATTTTCTACTTCAGCTTTCAATAAACCAATTCATTTTTATCCTTCCTTCACAATTTCATAGTTACAGGAAATGTGGGCAGCTAATTATACAATACATTAGAGTAATCCTTCATTAGTATTTTCACTCTCATTCTGCTGCTTTAAAATGTTTTATTGTTTTGAGAGAGAGAGAGGAAGGGAGAGAGAAACCAATTGGGTGTTCCACTTATTTTTTATTTTTATTTTTTGTCAATCCTCACCTGAGAATATATTTTTTTCATTGATTTTTAGAGAGACTGGAAAGGAGGAAGGGAGAGGGACAGAGAGACACACACACATCAATTAGTTGCCCCCTGCGCACGCCCTGGCTGGGCCTGGGGCTTGAACTTGCAACCGAGGTATGTGCCCTTGACCAGAATCGAACCCAAGGCTCTTAAGTCCGTGGGCCAACACTGTAACCACTGAGCAACACCAGCTAGGGCAGGAACTGTTCTCAGTATTTATACAAATTAACACATTTAATCTTCCTTACAGTTCTGTGAATGAAGTAGGTACTCTTTTGTTTTCTTCTTTAT